GCCCCCATCCCACCGGGGGAGGGGGAGGGAGCGAGTGGCTGTGTGGTGCTCAGTTGCCAACTGAGGTTAAACCACGACACTGATGGGAGTGGGAAAGTGAGGGTACCACTATATAGGTTCAAGTTAAAGGAAGTGTGAAACGCATCCACAGGACTGTGCAAATAACAAAATAAATGACAAGCACTGCCCTGAAAGATAGGGGTGAAAAGGGGCTGACGTGGCAGACTACCAAGAAGATAACGCAACGCACCGTTTTCCTCCAAGACACCTGTGTGACGAGGACCGGGAGCCTTCTGTGCCAGTCGGCTCCAAACGAACCCTGCAGAAGAAGGACTTTGCCTCCAGGGTGGGAAGGCAGCGCTGCCAGGGCACAGGGAAGCACAGCAGAATCAGGAGGGCTGAGGGGAAACTGAAGTACTTTGTTAATTCCCTGGGGAAGGTGAGTTGAGTACAAAGAAGCTGAAGCCAGTCCTGGTTTGGCTGCTGCTCAGATGTGCTGAAGGATGCTGGGCCAAGTCCCAGTGTTGACTGTGTCTCTAATTACTTCTGACAGCAATGTAAAAGCTAGCTGAGATATGCTGTCTCATAGGGCATCATCTCATCACTCAGACGAGTAGACTATCCACAACTTTTGAATCCTGTCCCAAATATAAGGAGCGTAAGTTTCTAAGGGTAATAGTGAGAGTTCTAACAAGTCATTTATAAAAAGTCTTTTCCCCTTGGCGAGTGGCAACCTTGCTCCACAAGTTATAGAGAATTTGAAAAGAAACATAATCAAATTTCAGGGGCGAATGAGTTAACAGTTTTGGCAGCAGATATTTTTGTTGCAACTGGCTGTCCTTGCACAAACCACTTTAAGGAGAATATATTGGTGGAAAGCCATAAAGGTTATTTACATAGATGGAGTTTCATCATCTCAGCCCAAAACAGGCTGGGTTGGTTATGCTGATCTAATGTTTTCTTTATCATGGTTTGTGTGAGGCTAGGAGCACATGTTAGACTGCGTTTTAGTTTGCTCTTTTACTATGCTGATGGTAGTCCTTTGAGATACTAGTTTAAATTATGCAGCATGTGCAGTATTACAAAAACAGTTTCAGAAATCTAATATTCAAACAAAACCAAAATATTGCTTGTACCATGAGCTTTGTTATGCCCCAACTTAGCAAGAACAATTTTCTGCAGGAAATAGCCCCCGGCCTTTTTAGGAATATACCTTGTAAAATATTCTGAGAAGATCTTCAGTTTTCCTTTCCAACAAGTGGAAGAGAACAACTTTCACGTTTGCTCCCATGAGCTAATTTTTCCCTTTCTTTGAGAGCCATTCTCAGTCCCTTCCTGGTATGGAAAAGGTGGTTTGGCATTAGGTTAGTTCAGTAGTTTGAATTCACTGTTCTGTTCAGGATAGAAACTAAGATACTTTTTAAAAAGTTAGCCTAAGTCTTAAAGAATGTCTACAAGAGCTTTTCAGTTTTGTTTGGCAAACAATTTCAAATTCAATGTTGCATCATTTTCTGCTGTTAAAACAAACCAACTCTTGCAACATGGCCTGCATCCGAACTGAAATAAAGTACACATCTTTTACTGATAGGACATAGCCTCTGTTTAAAGAAAGATGGGGTTTAATCTTAAAGACAACCTCATCAAAGCAGTTGATACAGGATCTGTGTAGAATTATTCTTTTACAGAATTGCTTGCACTAGCTGGCATTCTTTTCTTCAGATGAGAGACAAATGTTTGGTTTGGGTAGTTACTGACTACTTTCCAGTTACTTTTCTGTTTATTTCAATTTAAAAAAGGCAGACGTTCCTTATTAAAGTTCAAAGAATTCCTGTCTGAGCCTAAAGAGAAACTTATGCTGATTTTTGTTATCAAAACCTGTACGTGTCCATACCCTGACGTTCTAGAAAAGGAGGATATGTTTGTCATTATTACATGGTTTTGAAAATAAAGCCAAAGGATTTCTTCCATTGCTGTTTAAGAAATTAAATCCCTATCACGCAAACCTGGTACCAGACAGTAATTTCCACCCGGGGAACGTTTTAAACAAAGATACCTTACTAAGTGTTTTCCACAGCTGTCAGTCTTGTCAGTACTGTAACCCAGGGTGAGGAACAGGCACAGCCTGAACTTAAAAACCGAGTTTCCCAATTCTGCTGAGCCCTGCTCTGATATAGGGCATCTGCAGCTCGAGCAGGTCGCCTGGACTCTTCCCTTTCACTGCCTGCAAACAGCGATTATCCTGTTTATATACAGACTGCAAAGCCTCAGCTTGCCTCTCAGCCTGCGAAGCGCCTGTGGAAATAGCATCACTGTAATCACCCGGAGTATCGACAAGCTTGAACTTACAGATATCCTTCTGTCAGACCTGAGGGAGGCACAGCCCGGGCGCTGCAGGCGGCGAGGCGGGCAGGTGAGGGCAGGCCGCGGGGCAGGCCCGGCGAGGCCAGAGAGCCTCCCCGTGGAAGTCGAGGTCCCGCTGCCTCCGCAGGGGTAGGCCCTGGCGGCCCTGAGCGCGTG